ATTTAGGTTTATAAAATAGATGTGCTTATTTTTTTTAATTAAATTGAATGTCAGGATTTATTAATCATTTTAAGGAAAACATTTTACAATAATATTACATAAAAGAAAAATGGTGTGTACCCCCTAATGTAACATGTAAATGTTTACATTTCTTGATCTGGAAATGTTTTCTGTTCCATGGTAATTTTCTACAGCTCATTTTAACTGGGAAACCAATTATCTGTAGAATTTTTCATAAATTCTATCATCCAGTTTTTTTTCGATTGCCAGAATTTTCTGAAACAAAGTAATTCCATTGAAAATTGTAAAATTTCCCTAGAGCAAAAACTTAAAATTACTAATCATTACAATTACTAATAAAAAAGTAACAAAGATTAAAGGAATATATTCTATGAAAGGATAAGGAAATCACTTACCTAGGAACCTCACAAATCTGAGTGCAGCTCCAAAACATACGCATAACCTAATGTGCTACATTCACAGGGGAACCCTAAACACATCGCATGTGCCTTCTTTACTCTTGTTTTGGACATAGTTCTTATCATCTTGATTATATATATTTAAATTGCATAACCAAACAGAAGTATCATTGTGATGTGTGAATTAAAAATCAGAAAAGAGCAATTTAACCAGATTTATTTGTGATTTATCTATTCAAGCAGTTTGAAAGATAGGAGACCTAATTTATCAAATACTACCATATTTTAGTTCTCAGGTGCTTGTGATTATAGGAGAGCAGGGTTCAAGTAGTTGTTTCTGCAGCTGGTGTCTTTACACAGAAGTGGAGCGGCCTGGGGTGGTGGGGGGAGGGGCTGAATGTTCTGCTCCAACCTGCAGAACGGTAGGTGCGATAGGGAGGTAACTGTGAGTGTTGAGTGAATTTAAAGGAATAAGTACTAATTCATTCCTTCTTCCATTCTGGTGGCAGGACCCGCTTCTGTAATCGAAATTTTCCCCGACCTTTAAGCAGTGCAGAGAGGGTAGGGAGCTTGGAGGTGCTTTGTGGAGAAAACTTATTTTTAAATCTTCTTGGTGCGTGGTACAGGAAGAAGGCTATAAGGGACAAAACTTGCTTGTGCTTGGGAAGCCCTACTTTTTGATTAACCTTCTTTGGGATGGACGGTCTCTTTATAGTGCATTTAAGTTTCATAGTAGAAAGATGAAACCAGGTAAGGAAAACCTAGACACTTTAATTGCAGTGTTTAAATGACCGCTTCTCTTCTAATTCTCTTGGACTACTACAGGAAAAAAATTCTTAAATACCTTCTCCTTGGAGCCTCTAAATACTGTATTTTAAAAGCGGTCATCTTTGTCTTAAGTCTCTTTAAAAACATTGATTTCCTTTTAGTCTAATTTTTGCATAAAGGGAAGAGGCTTAATAATAATTATCCCGTCTCATAAATTGTGAGAATGTGTATGATTTTCAAGGACAACTGTTTGTCACCGTGAAGAAAAAAAAAACACAAAAACTATTTACAACAAAGAAGAGGAATTTGGCTGAGAGTCACAATCTAACATCACCATAAATTTATCAAGAACTTTGTAGCTGTCAGAGTGTTTTATCTCAATTGATCCTCAGAACCTCCTTTCTCCCTTTACACCCTCAAAAGTTTAGTATTGTAACATGGAAGTGTCACTCCTCTTAGAACTCAGTTCTAAATAATTACTGAGCCAGCCTCACAGTCTTATGTGCATGGTGTTCTTTGATTCCCATGGTTTCCTATTAAATCAGCTAGAGTGTAGGTGATGTGGAACTCTGAAGCGTTTTCCCTTGTGAATGAAGAGAAGCCATCAATGCCCTCAGTTGATTAGAGTATAGGCCTCCATGTGCAATGTCCACCACAATCTTTGGTTCGTTCCTCTGTTCTACATTTGCTGCTCTCTTTCCACCTTCCCCAAAAGCTGTCTAACCCTACATGGACTATGACATAAGAGAAAAACAAACAGCAAAGTCTTATCATCTTCTCTTTGGAAAGACTGTTTCCCATTCCAGGACCCTTTTGCATTTCCCTTTTGGGGTGGGGTGAGAAGGGATTGGAGGATGCATACTTCTACACACAGCAGTGTCCACTGGGTCCATATAAGCTCACAGTGGACCCCCCAAACAGAAGTGAAGAAGTGTTCTCTTTATTGACAAAGTAGTTCTTCTTTTCTCTTATATTCTGTAGGATCTTTCTGAGTTCTGGGTTGCAATCATTAAGAGGAGGAAGATAAAATTTTGTGCTTGTTTTAACCGAGGAGAGGCTTGATCAGCAGGATATTGGCACCTAATGATTTCAACGTATTTTACTGGAAGATTTCTCCTATATAAATAAAAAATATAAATATTTGGTAGAATGACTTAAAGCTAAATGACTTGCTTTTTGTCTAACATCACATATGAATGAAAGGTTTTATTTTTAATGTGAGAGCATTTTGTGTATTCTATTACATTCTCTGAAAAGAAAGTTTTCTTGTTTTTATTCTTATTTTTGCACCCTGTTTTGTTTTGAACTTTTTTACTGTTTAACATAATATAGCACAACTGCATTGAAAGATGTGGACACTGTGACACTCTCAATAGATAGGATATGACATTCACTAGCTAACTAAAATGCATATAATTGATTTTTGTTTACATGTTTTAATGAATAAACTTATTAATATGTTTGGCTTTTTTCAATCTGTCATCTTTTCTGTATAGTATTGGCATATAATTTTTAGACATTTTAAAGTGTGCTGTTACTTAGAAGAAGAGCAAATGTTTTTGAAATTTTACCATTTTCTCGCTTTTCCAGGAGACTCAAAAATAATCAAAGGATAAATAACTTCTAGACAGGAGGAAATTCATTGTTTTATGTAGGTCTGCCCTCTTATGTCTGTACTAGGAAATCTTGATCTTATTTTATTTGGGGAAAGTCACTGAAAACAACCTACAAAATCAAAACTGCTTATAATTAGATTGTTTTATGATCGTATCAATCATGAGCAATTTCACCGAGTTCAAGAAGGTTCATTTTAATGTAGGTGATTTGCATTAAATAAACATTTTGGACGAGATAAAATAAAAAAGACAACATTAAACATTTAAGAATTAGTTCAGTTTTGGTACCCTGTAAAGTAAGATTAGAGTTTATTCTACAGTAGAAAGTATTTGAGCATTTGGTATTTAAAAATGTTTAAATACATAGTTCATTATATCTTACTCTTTACACATCATGATAAACAGAATAAATAAGTTGCATTTAAAGAATGGGTTTTTGTTTTACAATATAATCTAAGGTACATTACAATATAATCTAAGGTACAGTATTCTGTAATCCTCAAGTATAAGGTTTTAATTTCTGTTAAGGCAGAATGAAAAACAAAAAAATTCTTTATTTCTGTTTGACTTAGGAAAAACTCCATAACCTCACAGCTTATGGTTTGAAGTTGATGTTGTAATGAGCAACATAATGAAAAGGATAGAACTCATTATTGTAAAATTTCCACTTATTTTTTAAGATCATTGCAGCTAATTACAGAACTTGGTTATTTTTTGCGTGGGTTATTATTGACACCAGTGAAGTGAATGCATTACTTCTTGTTTATAAGCTCTTCTAGTTGATGTTAGGGATATCCAACCCATAGATGAGGTTTCACTCAAGAAATCCCTCTGTTAGTAAGAAACCCCTTTTCCCTCTGTTCTCAGATATCAGTGAACCAAAATTATCCCCCTTCCTATCTCCAGTACCCCTCAGGGATTCAGAAAAAACTTAAAAGCAATATTTCCTTCACTATTTTCTTAGTAGCACTTGTGTTACAAACCAAGGTCAACACTGACTTTTCCAGTTCTTTTAGTAACCATATTTTGGCAAATCGTATAGGAAATTACATATTTTCTACTCTTTAATAATTACTATATCGGTAGTATGTCTTGAACGTAGGTAAAATTACCGGATTGTACAATATAGGTGTAAACCATTTTAGACTTAATTTTAAACTGAGTCAATTTAAATTACCAAATTTTGGTGAATATATTTTCCAAACCAGTTTTTACTTCTATTGTTTAGTGAGTTGTTGGAAGATATTTTTAAATGACTAGAGGGGACTAGATTAGTATTGCTGGATCTATAATTTAGTGTAGTTGAGTGGCCTACCAAATATGTATTTACCATCTGGGTGATAGATTAATGAAAATAGCTAAGCCCTATCATAAACAATAGTGGGATTAAAAAGTTCATTTCAAGGGCTTCCCTGGTGGCGCAGTGGTTGAGAGTCCGCCTGCCGATGCAGGGGACACGGGTTCGTGCTCGGTCTGGGAAGATCCCACATGCCGCGGAGCGGCTGGGCCCGTGAGCCATGGCTGCTGAGCCTGCGCGTCCAGAGCCTGTGCTCCACAACAGGAGAGGCCACAACAGTGAGAGACTCGCATACCACAAAAAAAAAAAAAAAAAAAAAGTTCATTTCAAAATTTAATCAAAGAATGTGTTAATTTTGGAGAGATAGTTAAAAATTTTATTTTTTAATGCTTGAAATAGTATTTTTTCTTTTATTCTGTTCCCTGCCTACATTGAGTGTGAGATTAGAACAGAAGACGACCTGTAAAATCATTCTGATGTCTTAAAATTTCATGATTCCAGAGATACAGTGTGGCAGTTATGTGCTCTAACTCAGATAATTAGCTATAGTGCCTTAAATTAAGGTTGATTCTGTTCTATTAGTGTATTAGTATTTATGGCTAATCACAATGTCAGATGTTAAATTAACCAACAGTTCTTGTCTATTGATCATAAAGTCCTAGAGAGAACAGATTTACAGTTTACCTACATGTGCTAAAATTCTGTAATTCTTTGAAAAAATTAGTTAAATTTTACTTATGTAAGGGTATGATCTTGGTTTTTTTAACTTGATTCACATAAACTTAAAATATTAGGGTAGTATACAAAAAACATAATTTCTATTTTAGAATGTACGTTCTGATAGAATTACTACAAAGACTTCTGTATGATGATAGTAAAGATAACAGATGTTAGGGCTGTTTCAAATGATGACATTTCATTTGAATGATTATTTTGATATACTTGGTAAAGACCTGAAAAATACTTAATAAACATCAAAGAGGCTTTTACAGTACAGTATAAATTATATTTACCCCCAAAGAGTGAAGCTAATGCTTTATATATGAAGTGAACTTGTTAGCAGTGCAATTTCAAAACTAAACCCCTAGTTCATCCTTAGGAAAGATTTGGGATAGAAACTTATAAGCTCTTTTGAGAAAATTAGCAGTTACATTATAGTCATTTTAAAGTTAATTTTTTAAAATAAAGCCCTTTTTATGTTTACAACATCCAGCAGATGAATACATTTGCTAACAATTTGTTTTGTTCCAAATCTTGACCTTTTCACAAAGAAATTCTTCTACTTAGGAAGTGGTCTCTTATATAGTATTGTTTTCCCTTCTTCATGGGATGATAGATTTTAAGCTGATGGTGATAAGTTGCAGCACTGGAGATTGCAGCAGAACTTCAGAGAAGCATCACGATGATGCAAATCAGCAAGAGACATATTAAGATGAGACAGAAATTGACAAATAGGTTCTGGAGATTTTGACGTGCGTGTTGAGGCACGTCAATGGTTGAAGCTCTTCTTATAGCAGAGCGAGTGAGGTATTGGACTTTATCCATGACACCAGGACGGCAGGAAGCCTGAAGTTTTAAACGGTCAAGAGAAAGATAAAAAGCTGCCAGCCAAGTGTGAGATCACTGTCTTCTTTTAGGTTGTCTGGAATGTAAAAATAGAAAATGGATTAGCATAATATGTGTAACCTATCCTCTGAACAGGTAAAACAGTTTTGCGTTAATCCCTCTTCCTCAACATTATTTGTATTTATGACATCAAATATCTCTATAGTCTGTGTGTGTGTTGCTCTGTCTCTGTCAGTCTGTTTTGGTGATGGTCACCATGATGTCTTGTATTTGGGGTGTAATAACTTTAGTCTTTGCCTCCTCCTCTCAAAATGACTGGAAGTATAGTTTGGTTAGGGTGCAGCTTGTTTTGGGCTATTCGCTTGGGCAAAAGTTCTTACATATAGTTTATTTTTTTAATGAATTTATTTATTTTTGGCTGTGTTGGGTCTTTGTTGCTGTGTGTGGGCTTTCTTTAGTTGCGGCGAGTGGGGGCTACTCTTCGTTGCGGTGCGTGGGCTTCTCATTGTGGTGCCTTCTCTTTTTTGTGGAGCACGGGTTCTAGGCATGTGGGCTGCAGTAGTTTTGGCACGTGGGCTCAGTAGTTGTGGCTTGCGGGCTCAGTAGTTGTGGCTCGCAGGCTCTAGAGCACAGGCTCAGTAGTTGTGGTGCACGGGCTTAGTTGCTCCATGGCATGTGGGATCTTCCCAGACCAGGGCTCGAACCCGTGCCCCCTGCATTGGCAGGCAGGTTCTCTACCTCTGCACCACCAGGGAAGTCCTTACATATAGTTTTATTAAGGCTGTTTCTCTGTGAGCATAATTGTTGTGAACATTAGTATATAAATAGCTCCAGAGCAAGTCGTATAATAAGAAATGCATGCATTCAATTATTCTCTGGATGTTGATTTCACTCCAGAATAAAATAGTTCAATGAGCAGTGTTTTACCAGAACTATAGATTCAAATGTTTCTCATTCCTTTTTATGATTTTATAGCTTTGTAGAATATGCTATTTTAAGTAACTTTTTAACAAGATGATATTAAGTACTCAAGGCTGTCAAGACTCAGAACGCATAGTAATAAAATTATCATTATCTCACTGTCTACCACAGACAGTTGCTATTTGCAAAGGACCTGTACTTAAGAACAGCATTTCCATTTGTTTTCTTTCAGAGCTCCCACAAGCTATTCTGCCTAGTTAATTAATTAGTTGCTGCCTAATCAATTATCGGTGCTAATTAATTAACAAAACAAAACTTAAAACAACAGATCATTGTAGAAAATTAGATATAGATTAAAAATTAGCTGTGAGTTAACTGCCCAGAGATAATAGCTATTAACATTTGGTGATATTTGTTGTCAATCAGGATACGTCTGTGTAAATTTTGAAATAAGAAAAATTAGAAATGGAATTTAAAAAATAACCGTAATTAACTGTCAAAGATAATAGCTGTTAACATTTGTTGATATATCACTGCTAATCAAGATATTACTACCTTACCCCAGCTGCCTGATTTCATTTTCTCTCTAGTGGCTATATGTCTCATGAAAACCCATCTCAACCTTCAGCTGTATTTCTGAGAGAGACTAGTGCTGAAGACAGCAGAGGGAAGAACTGAAAGAATGAGGAAGGGGAAGATATATATTAGGACTGATCAGTGAGAACTCCTCATTTATTGTTACAAAGAAACCATGTGGTATATGGTGGTTAGATTCTATATAATTTCAGCACTTCAACTTGGCTCTATTAATTTTTTTTAACATCTTTTTTGGAGTATAACTGCTTTACAATTGTGTGTTAGTTTCTGCTGTATAACAAAGTGAATCAGCTATACGCATACATATATCCCCATATCCGCTCCCTCTTGCATCTCCCTCCCACCCTCCCTATCCCACCACCCTAGGTGGTCACAAAGCACCGAGCTGATCTCCCTGTGCTATGCAGCTGCTTCCCACTAGCTATCTATTTTACATTTGGTAGCGTATATATATGTTTGAATTATGGGCTTTCATTTGGCTGAAGACTCTGGTCTCCTTCATAGTATTGGCCTATAGTGAGGAGATCCAAAAAACCAACTTAGGTCAAACTTCATTCTTTCAAAGAGTTGGTAACAAACTGTGTTTCTCTAGTGCACACACACATATATATATATACATATATATATATATATATATATATATGTCTTTAGCATATATTCTCCATTCTCCAACACAAGTGGCTGTTACTTAATAGAAAATGACAGCATAATCTTGGTATAAATTTAATTTAATTACTTTTTTTTTAATTCCTCAGGTAAAATACTATAGAAATAAAGGGGTTTTCTTTTGTTCCTTAAGAAGAAGCATCCTTTAAGTTGTTTCGGCTTATATTTGTTTATTATAGATATAGCGGATCTATACTGTTGGGTAATTATGGAGAAGGTTTTCTTTGTTACTTTATTATATAAATCTGACTAACCTCTTTATATAACAGAGTACAACTAAGAAGGTTGTAAAGAATTAGTACTGGTAATTCCTATTTAAACTTAATTTTTGTGAAGTTTCAGGACTTAAATGGTATAAAAGGTCTAAATTTTAAAATTATTGTGAGATATAACATGGAATGGGAAGAGCAGGCCAGTTATTCATCATGAAGCATATACAAGAGTCACTGCCTACCCTGACACTGGTGAGTGGTGCTTGAGTCACATGAAACATGTCACCTTTCCATAAATACTTCATTCCCTTTTATGATTCTGTGCTTTGCACATGTTGTTCTGGCTCTGCCTGGAATGTCTTCCCTCCCCCTGCCTCTACCTTTGATTCTTTGCCAGGCAAACTTCAGTTAATCCTTAAGGCCCAGTTTAAATATCACTTCCTAATGAAACCTTCCATTACTCATTAAGGCAGAATTGGTTATCACCTCTGTTGGGTTTTAGTAGGGCTCTGGTATTACCTGTATCAAGATATGACTATTGGGCTGTGCTGTAATTTTGATTTACATGCCTGTGCCCCCAACTAGAATTCTAGTTCGTGAGTATAAGAAATCACGTGTTTATTTTGTATTCTAGTACTTAGTGCAAAATTAGTACCATTTGAACAAGTCAGTGAAGTTGAACAAGGGTTTTTATGATTTACTTTAATATTTTTAGAAAATTATTAATGATCAAAGATAGTGCTGTGATTAACAGATTAACCATGTAGAAAATAGAATTTGATAAACACATAATCTCCAATATTCTTCTCAAGTCTCTTTCTTTTTGTTAGCCTGAACTGGGCTTTGTACAAGTGGATATTTGGTGTTTGTGAAATACAAAGAGGTGTGCCCTAAATAGATGAGCTATCTAATGATGAATATACAATGAATAGATTTTAAAGATGATCTCATAATACTTCAGCCAACTATTGTTGGAAAAGGATAGTTTGTTCCTGGAGACAAGTTGATTATAAAGGAGACAACCAAAGATACTGTCTTACTTCTTGTCAAACTTAGAAATATGTTATAATTCTAGAGTGATTTGTAGTCACTTTATAACCTTATGCTAAAACCAAAACAAATCTACTTTACATGCTGAAATGTTAGCTATATGCATGCAATTTATTGGGCCCAATTTATTTTACAGTGGTACAATCTGCAATGTGTTGAATCCTAATTCTGCTGAACTTCCAAAATCTGTATGATAATAATTAAGCCAAAATTCATCCCTACAAGATGGGGCTTCCAGTCATATGTTGAGAATTGAAAAACCGTGTGTGGGAACAGCACAGTCCTATTTTTAGAGTTGTCTGTGACCTTCGCTACATCATAATTTATGGCATGGTTGTCAGGTGTTTATTGTTTTCCTCCTCTGTGGTCACAACCATCCTATGAGTTTAGAACTCTTGCAGTCTTTTTTTCCTTCTTTTTCTTAGAGCCAAGCTGTTAATGCAGTATTATTTGGTAGAGAGCCTAGAAAAATAGTTTCACTGTATTTTCATTTAATTTAATCTTTTAGAGCATTCTTTTGGGATAGTCAGAAATAGATTGTGTTGGGGTATTCTGAACTTACATCTGGCCTAAACATCCAAGGAGACTGAAATTAGCTCTACCCCCCCAACACCCCCCCCCCGGAGGGGGCTTTTTAAAAGGATGACAGTTATGTAAGTTAAGTGTATAGGACAAGAGGAGTAAGGATACTTTGAAAATTAATTCATCATCCGGGCCCTAGTATCAGAATATTGAAAATATGAAAGATGCTTTGATAGGAATTTGGTTGTAGATGTGCCAGATCCGTCTCTTGAGTTACATGTAAGTGGCAGAAAAGTACCCACAGAGTATCTTGTATGCCTGTGGGCACTGTGATTATTCAAATTTTTGGAAGGATGGGAAGAATAACCCTTTACTGTTCTTTGTAGGATTTATAAAGCCTTTGCTTGTCCGCTTTTCCTCTTTTGCTCAAAAAGATGAAATTGGGAAGTAAATACAGTCAAGTTCAAGACAGTATTCTGTTTTTTTGAAGTGGAAGAAGGAGAGACCAAACTACAGGCAACTCTAATCCTTCAACAGGTATCATGTGCCATGTTAGGCAACATTTTGGGTGCAAGGTACCTTGTCAGCTTCTGCAGTAGTTCTCACTTTGTCTGCATTAATTTCTATTTCTTAAGGTAACATCAGATGCATTCTTGTGCAAAAGGAACTTCAGTAGACTTTTGCAGACTGTTGGTGTCTGCTTTATGACTTGCTAGACAATTGATACCTTAACGATGTTATATACACTGAGCAGTAATCCCCACGTGTAATTTAAGCACTTTCAGTGCTTTGCAGAACTTACTGAACTTCAGTTTTTTTCCAGTACTCCCTCTGCTGAAACCATAAATTCCTTAGATTCTTTATTTGTGGTGTTCAGAATTTTGCTTCCCTTTAATTTTTATCTGCTTGTTTATGCTTTTAGTAAAGTAAACATGGACATATTTTGCTAGTAAATTCAAGTAATACACATCTAAGAGTACAGTCTGACAGATCATTTTTTGAAAAATTTTTCCCATTAGGTTGGTTCAGAAGATTAGAATTCTCTATAGATTTGAGTTACAGGACTTGTCTATATTAGGATTATTGGGGGGGGCGTTATTTTTTCCTACTCTTTGCTGTCATTTTCTCAGATAATCCAGAAGCGATTGTGTATGCATCTTTTTTGTTGTGGTTGTTGAATTAAATCAGGACAGTTCATCATTAGATTTGTCATCAATCTGTTGGCATCCAAAAGTTCACTTTGGTAGAATCATTTTCCTTTTGAGATTGCCTAATGCTAATAAACTTGGAAGTTATTTTGTGTCAGCAACTTTTCAGAGCTTTGTTGGTCCACACTGGCTATTTGAAAGAATCTTCAAGCTGCTTCTGCCTGGTTATGAGAAGAATTGTGTAAACATATAAAAATCAACATATTCTCAACCCCTAAACTGACCCCATAATGAATTGTTTCCCTGAGTTCAAAGCTCTGCCTTTAGGAAAATTCATTAAACAGCAGCATACAGATTTTCTCTTTGAAATTGGCACACTGCTGTTGCTAGTCTGTAGGCTTGTCTTTATTGTCTGTTTATTATGCTAAGATTAATTTATTTGCAATTAAAATATTCTTTTTAACCTTCAGATTCTTCTTCGGGGGGAAAAGCATGTGAGGAGGAAGTGTAGAGGAAGTTTTAAGGAAAATGAATGCCAATTAAATATATCCCCACTAATGTGGGTAAGTTGGCCTCCCCTCTCCCCCTGTTTTGGAAAAGACCTGAAGGTGAAATACATTTTAGAAAGCACTAGAGGTCCTCAGTTGACTACAAGTTTACTGGGGTGGAGATGTACACCCAGGCCTCATTTTCTTGTGTTTCTCTGGTAATACATGCTTCAGAGTTATGTAGGGTAAGAACATTGATGTACTATTTCTGGAAATGTTCAAAGAGACTACATATTATCTGATTTAGGTCACTGTAATTTAGAAACATCACTTCCTTGATTTCTAACCTTTAGGTTTTCTTCTTTGCTGGTGTGATCAGTACCGTGTTAACAGTTTAGATGAAAGTTAGTGATTTTCATAGCATAAATAAAGCAAGATTGCTCTATTCAAGCACTTCAGAACAAATGAGGTTAAATATTTTAAATGGTAGAATGTGAGGAGGTCAGAAGTGAAACTTAGGAAAGCCAAGGATTTAATATGGAACTGGAATAAAATACGAAAGTGTGTTTTTTGTTTATGCAAGTATTCTCCTATCTCCAATTAATTAGTGAGATTAAGAAACAGTACATAACAAAATGTAATTTTTTGAAAAGTTTTGAGGAGAAATTAACCTGATTTTTAGGTATCAAAGCTAAAGATTAAAGACATGAGTATTTTAGCAATGAAACAAATTAAATAAAAAGAAACTTTAATTTGTGCATGTTATTGTTCTTTAAAATCTGTGCAGTTAGAGTTTTGTCTTCCAGGGTGTATTGCTTAATAACTGAGGACATCTATAACTTTCTTATATTCCTGGCTTTGAAAGTGATCAGGAGAATATTATAAGGCTATTAAGGACATCATACCTCATGCATAAATTTAACTTTAAATGAAATGGAATGGTTTTAAATTAAAATAGAAGTTTGTATCCTCTAACTTTGCCTTTTAGAGTGCCATTTGAGGACTTTCAATTTATTTTGTTTTGCCAATGTCATGATTTATTTTTAAGCCATGTTGATCAGTGGATGAGATGTGTGTGTGGTTTAGAGTCATAAAATCTTGGCTCTTGTCAAGGCTCCACCATTTCCTAGCTCTGTGACCTTGGGCAGTTCACCTTTTTGCATCTGTTCCTAAACTGTAAAATAGAGATGGAGTGTCAAACATATAGGGATTTAAGAGGATCAAATGAAATATTTGTATACGGTGCATTTAGAAAATTGTTCAAGAATAAAGAAGGAAGTTTTAATTGCCCTCATTATTTCTAGGATTGGTAATAAATATACAGTCTAATTTAGGTACTCTAATTTTTACTTAAAACTTTAATACATGACACAGTTAATATTTTACCTAATACATTTAATACATTAAAATTTTAATTCTTCTGGGGAACTATTTTGTTTATGCAAATATTCTATCTCCAATTAATTAGTGAGATTAAGAAATAAATAATATCAATAAGTAACGAAATGCAGTTTTTTCTGGAATATTATTTTCCTTTATGTCCACTGAAATACTGTTAAAATAATTTTGATACTTGAGTTTTAGGAAATGATAGTGACATGACTCCTCTTATTTAAACAGAGTACTCTAGCTCTTTCACGTGTTTTTAAGACTTAATCAATTTTTCATAATTTAAACATCTTTCACATTTCTTCCATCAGACACTTTTTTTTTCTTTTAAGCACTTAGTCTTAAACCACATGAAACAAAGACAGGACTTAAATTTCACCTTATGAAAGAGATGAACTAGTTGGGACATTATGTCTGGCACTAGGGTATTATGTTTCAAATTTGAATAACAGTCACTGTAACTATGTAATTTCCGTTAATCTGGCACACGAAGGATAACTTTAATAGCAGAATTTCTGCTCTTTCTAGAAATTAACTTCGTGGAGCAGTATGTGATGTGAAATTTTGGTACTATAAAAGAATTCATGAACATCTCATATGAAGTGTGAGAATGTAATTTGATAGATATTTGAGTAAAAATGCATAAATCTGCATATAAAACACCTGCACTGAGTGACTCTTGTGTAACATCAAAGGAAAAACATTTTATGAATATGAAGATACTTAGAGGTAGTTGGGGTGCCTCAGTGGTAGACAGAAATTATAAATGCTTTTGCATGCCTCAAGGAAAGCTGCTTAAGGAATTATACAAAGTTCTTATCTATAAAAAGCAGTAGAGTTAACATTGGTCATAAGAACTTAGAATTCTAGAGGTAAATTTTATTTTGACATATATATAAAAATAAAAATAATGAAATAAAATCAATGTAGTATCCTTTATGCCCTGACTGAAAGTTAAGAATGAAAACACATTTCGTATATTAAATTGAGAATAAAGAGTAGAGTAGAATTTAAACAGAAGTTATAAAATTTATGGTGGCATCTCCATTCCTGGGCATTTTTTCATCCTCCTCTCCACCTTCCAAATACAAGAGAGGAAACTGAGGAACACTGGAGGATAGTAACTTGATAAAAGTATATTCATTAATAGCAGAATAAACATTCATTTGATCAAATTCACTCAAATGAGATACTTAGGAATATTTGTGCTACCAAAATAACATCTCTTTATTTTTAAAATAAAGAAATTAATGTTCTGTAACTTCAGAAAGAATTTTACATGTTTTTGACAAGTGTTTTGAAATGTCCAAACTTGTTATTTATGATATAATATTGAATTTAATATAAATAACTCAATTTATTAAAAGCTTGGATTTTTTAATAGAAGTTGACTGGACTTAGTTCGTGCTGTATGTTCTTAAACTCCACTTCATTAATATTCCCTGTAAAGAATCATAATGATAATATTGGAGTAGTGATGCCAGTAACACAACTGTTCTTAGTATTCCGGATGTAAGCAGACAGCTCAGTCCTACCCTACTTCTCAGCAGAGTAACACATAACAAAATGAAACCACATTTTTGCATGGAGAAATCAAATCACCACTAGTACCAAACGTGGTAACATGATTGAAAGATATTTTAATTGGCAGAAATTTACTTTTGAAGAGCAATAAAAGTGAAGGTTAACTTAAAATGACAAACCAACAACCAGGACCAAAGATGACTGCTATCTTTATCATTTCTGGGTTAAGTCTTATTCTTACTATCACTGAATGGGTAAGCATTTATTTAGAAATTAAGCTTTATGTCAGTCAGACATATTATTATCTAACTTTGAACTGAAGTTTATAAAATATGATTAACTTCTTAAAAAGTTCAGTAAGTTTGAGTTATAGAAAGTAAGAATTGCCATAATCAGTGAAATCTGTTTCTTACCTTGGCTGTTGTGATGATCACAATATAGAATATTGTAAGTTGTATGAAGTATTATCCGGCGTTTAGCTGGAAAGTTTTCTGACTGTTACCAGAGTTATGGGAACAATTGAAGTAGGTGGAGGAGAAAAAGTGTTCTAGGGAGGTCTTATGATGTCACGCAGGAATTCTGAAGTTATGATTGGTTAGCCATAGTCTTATCACAACCAAACTTTTTAGAATGTCATTTATCTTAACCTTAGGTATGGAAAGGTCATTAACACTTTGTGCCTTTTGTTCTTTATTTTAAAAAGTATATGGGAGATAAGTGAAAAAGTAAGTTCAGCGTGATAGAAAGCTCTTTTTTAGAGGTTCATGCATCTTCAGGCTTAGAAGTAATTGTAAACTGAGGGTAATAATGTTGAAGAACTAAAATAAAGTAATAGGAATTTTAATAGAATGAGAATAATAATACTGGCTTAAGCCAAACAACTTTCATTGAGTTTGTTGTTGCTGTTGCTTTAATACTGCAGCTTCATAATGTTAACTTCTAGCAAGACAATAATTAAACATTGTCACAGAATCAAATTTTATACCTTTTCCTGACTTATTTTCTTCTTCTCTCATACCTACGTGTGTATGGGGGAGAGAGTATGTGTGAGAAAGCCAGGCTGAGAAATCTGATTTTGGTTTTAAAAACTCTGTGTTTTCTTAGTTAGGGCTTTAACAACATTTTTATGAATAGTAATTCTCATTTGAACTGATAGATATCACCCCAAGAAAAGTTGCTGTTTACACATTTAAGTACTTAGGATTTTTTAACAGCTACATTAAATTACCATAAAATCTTACTAAAATTCCAATAAGCTGACAGCATCAAGAGTAACTTTCTAGCAAAAAAGAAATAGTCACAAATCACTAATCAGTGACATCCTAGTTAGTGATACTTTATTGACAATAGGTGTGCATGTGTTTGGAAATTTAGTACTTCTGAAAGGGTGTGCCTCATTTAATGCAGCAGTTGTTTTCCTGAAAATTACTGTGTAAATGAAATTTTAGTAAATGGAATGATGTTTTGAACTTCTGAGAACAGAAAAGGATTCCTTCGACAAGCCAGGCATCATTTTCCTGTTTTTTGTGATTATTTTGTTTATATATTAGATTTACTTAAATCACGACACCTCCAGATTCTAATTCTTAAACCTCAACTGGAATTCTGGAGAAGCCACTTGTTAGTTTTAATTTTTAAAGTACTTACAGCAGGGTGAACTCAGCCCGCTTCACTTCCTTGTGGGCAACTAAAGTCTTTTGCAGCAGCTGCTTACGTGTCCTTAAATGGAGATGATTCTGGCTCCTTCCAAAGAAAGATAAATCCTTTGCTAGAACAAATCTCTTGTTATTTAAAGAATCAACTAAAACTATCAGAAATAACATTCAGCAAAGGCCCTCTGTAAACATTGCTAAGGGAAAATTTTACAACTTAAAAGTAAAACCCCAAATTAAATGAATTGCATGAATGTTTCACAGTTTGCTCAGTGCTATTCAAGCATTTTTTCTTTCAACCATTACATAATGAGGATCTCTTATTATTACGAATTGCCAATGATTACTGAAATACAAAACCTAGGGCCTTGAAATATAACCCTAAGGTGGTTTACAGTAATTTGTCAAAGATGACATAGCTGCTAAGGGACAGACTGAGGGTTTAAGTCCAGGTCTGTTTAGTTATAATTCTCTGATAGGTTGGCATGTTGTGTGGGGGGAAAGTCATAATCTGGACATGGATTTCACAGAGTAGTATACGTCAACTAAGGAATTTTAAGATGGAGATAGCTGAATTACTGAAAACTCAAACTATTTTTAGAAAGTCTGCTTTAAGTTCACCTACACATTCATTTGAAAGTGAAGCTTAGGGGATAGATCATTGTAGTTGCACCTCTAGTTCTAAGAAAATAGAATTAGTAATACTTAGTTGTATAAGAAACCTCCACAGACCAAATAAAATATGGCCTAGATATTTCACATGTTGGCAGATTTGCTTAAAAGCATATATAGGTGGGCACACACACCCTTAGAAGGATACTAACAAACTGTGTTAGAGTTGGAAAATGGAGATGAAAATTTACTTTTCGGATTGGTACAAGGGCGGGAGCTTCTGTGTTTACCTTTTTCATTTTGGTTAGCTGCTGCTGAGGCGGGTGATCCCTATTATTTCTCCAGACGGAGCTCTAGGAAGTGCTACACCTTCGTTTTAGGCTGATGGCCTAAACAGAAAGTTGCTTACTAGGAGCATTGGTGAGCTGCAGTATAGTCAGTAGATTGTTCCTCAAAAATTCCACAGTGAGGGGCTGGAAAGTGTTTTTAGAGGCGCTTTGTCAGAATCTTCATTCAGAGTCAGACTATAGTCTGAATCCATTCTTGGTCGCATGACCTTATACAAACTTGTCTAAGCTGCCTTATCTGTGGAATGGGTTTGTTGTGAGGATTTAATGAGAAGAAGTATGTATAATGACTATTAGAGATCTTGCAACACAGTGTCCATTTAGTGTTAGCACTTATTTTCCTTTTGAAGATGATTCTTAATCTGCAGTCCATGGGTAGAGTTCAGTGCCTTTGAACTTGGATAGGAAAAATGTCAGACATCTTCATTTTTACTAAACTCTAAATGAGATTTAGCATTTCTTCAGTTTTGACTGTAGGCCACAAACTGCAGAAGTATTAGCAGTATGTTTGACTGTCACCGTTAGCAATCTTAGATAATTTCATATAGTATAGTTGTTGCAGATAGCTTGAAATACTGCTTACATTCATACCACTTGAAATTACAAAATTAGACCTGCCTGTAAATATATTGTTGTTTAATACATTAATAAAGAAGCATAACAGAAAAGGAAAATAAAAGAAAAGCAGAAATATTACAACACAAATTTGTTTCTTTTTAAAATATTTATTTCAGTGTAATTTATTTCCTTTCTAATCCTATGTATCTCACTTAATTCTTTTCAAGTTTTATTTTATTTTATTTTTTGATATGGACCATTTTTAAAGTCCTTATTTAATTTGTTACAGTATTGATTCTGCTTTACGTTTTGGTTTTTTGGCCGTGAGGCATGTGGGATCTTAGCTCCCCGACCAGGGATCAAACCTGCACCCACTGCATTGGAAGGTGAAATCTTAACCACTGGACTACCAGGGAAGTCCCTAAAGTTTTATTTTAGAACAGTTCTAAATTTACAGACTTATTGCAAATATAGAGAGCTCCTGTATACCCCATACCCAGTGTCCCCTGTTGTTAACATATCCTACGTGAGTATGGTACATTTCTCACAGCGGTTATACCAGTGTTGATACTAAAGCCCATACTTTATGCAGATTTCCTGTTTCCCCTGGTGTTCCTTTTCTTTCCCAGGATTCTTTCCAGGACACCAGATTACATTTAGTAGTCGTGCCTCCTTTGGTCCACTTGGTTGTGACCGTTTCTTACAGAATGTCCACAGTTGGGATTCGTCTGATGTTTCTCTCATGGCTAGGGCTGGTTAATGTGTTTTTGAGAGGAAGATCAGAGAGGTAAAGTGCCGTTTTCATCACATATCAAGTGTACATACTATCAGCATGACTTACCGATGTCGTTAACCTTGATCACCTGGCTGAAGTGAAGTATTCGTCAAGTTTCTCCATGGTAAAGTTACTCTTTTCCCTCTCCCTCCTTACTGTACTCTCCAGAAGAAAGTTACTATGCACAGCCCACCCTTACGCTTCACTACCTTAAGAGTGGGGTGTCTATAAAAATTACTTGGCATCCTATGTATTTTATGATATAAAAACATTGAGAACAGGTCAGTAGGCTCTAGCTGTCTGCCAAAAAATGTCCATGGCACAAAAAATTAAGTCCTATGCTGGGGGTTGTTTCTGTCGTAGTATGGGGCAGCCCTTTGTGGAAAGAAGACTGAGTTCTCAAACAGGCTAAAATCCAGACCTCCTAGTTTGCTTTTTTAGGCACTGCTTTTCCAGCTTTGTCTCGTATCACATTCCCTTGTATCCTGTGCTGTGGCCTTGTACAGCTGCCTGCGGCTTTTTGAACAGGCTGTTGTTCTATTTTAAGCCTCCTCACTTTTTGTAGGAATGTCCTCCTTACTAACCTTTATTCCCATTAAAGTGCTAGTTTCAATTTATGTCTTCTGTGCAGCCCTCTCTTATGCTATATACTTTTGCATGTTACCCGTATTATTATGTCTCATTTTATTGTGTTTATTAGTATATCTGCCTAGACTAGATTCCAAGCTACTTGAGAACTATCCAATAACTCTTATATAACTATAACTGTATATAACTTATATAACTCTATAACTATCCAATTTATACCCTCTTTATTCCTTATAGTATAGAACCTGGCTTATAGCAATTCTTAAATATTGGCTGAATGGATGATTGGATGAGTGAGTGAATAAAGGGGGAGCTAGGAAAGACTGCAAGGAGGTAGTGAATGAGTGATTCTGCAGAAGTAAGTGTTACAAACAGTTAAAAACTTCTAACTTTTAAAGCTCATCATGGGGGAGGAGGAGAATAATTGGGAGAGATTGGGGATAAGAGTACAGTAACTGAGAAAATAAACTTTCTTGTCATTTAAAGATGATGTAAATATGTTTGTAAAGACTGAAGGAAGGTGGAACCATAAGCCTACGCTTCCTGAATTGAGCCTCTAAATTTTTTTTTTAACTTTTGTTTTCTTTGCTCATTGGATTCATAATAATCCATGTTACTTTATATACTCTTAATATTGCAAGACCTGCTTTTATTTATGTAATTATTTAGTTTTTATTTTATTTTAATAGTGAAAAAAGAAAGCACCTCTAAGATTACCACCTGAACATAAGCTCGGATGTTAATAACTTATGCCTAACCACATGGTCTTGCCATGTTCCCCCTATCTTCCCCACCCAAGTAAATGATTATTCTGATTCCTGGGTTAATTTCTTTACATTTGTTTTTATAGTTTTGTGGCATTTTAAATTATGTATTCCTTAAAAGTTCTTGTAATTTTACTTAACTCTGTGTAAAGGAAATTATGATGTATAAAAATCTTTTACGCTGAGTATTTAAACTTCAAGTTGCAGGGGTATGTCAGAAGCAAAAGAAGCTTCAA